TGTGTGTGTGTGTGTGTGTGTGTGTGCGAAGCATAATTACACGTACAAATTTTACAATAGTTTTGATCATTGTTACATACAGACAATTGTTATGCGACTTTTACTAACTGAACATATTAAACTTGTAGGTAGAAATTACAATATATATTTGGTATACATTTTGAAGCAAATAATTATTTCTAAAAATGCAATCTCTTATTTCGAAGCCTCGAGGACATATCCTCTTAAAAATAAAATTGATCAAAACTATTGTAAAATTTGTACGTGTAATTATGCTTTGCACGCACACACACACACACACACACACATCCAAGTGCGGAATTACAATAAACTCATCTCGTATCTATACTTTTTTTGTTGTTCTTTTATCCAGTTTCAAAAAACATAAAAATGTTTTAAATAAAAAGAAAAAGAGAGATTTAGAAAAACACACGTATTCAAAACGCACAAATAATGATATTAGAGCGTTAACATGCTATGGGTATACATCATTAAATAAGAAGTATATATATATATATATAATTAGACATTTTGTTCAGAATTAAATTTCCTATATACAAAATCTTAAAGTCTGGCCAAAACATTCAAAGCCATCCTATATAATTCTGATTTTTTTAAATATTTATTTGCTATAAAATTTTGTTTTGAAAAATCTTTAAGATGTAGAATGTTTATAGTTTTTTAAATGACCTATGCTAAGAAAAGTTTAAAAATATAAAAAATTTCAATTAATGTCATTTTAATGTAAGTATATACAACTTTATCACAAATTACTTCTTTTTAATTGAGAATTAATTTCATTAAATTGTTTATACTAATTTTTATGAATATATCAACCCACAAATATATCAACACACATGTACATCTTCCAAAAAAATCAGAAAAATATTAAACAAAAATTATTTGTCTTTATGTTGTTAAAATTTTGAATATATGGATATTTTTGAAAGATGACGGAGAATCTGATGGAACTGCAACAGGGTTTAAGTCATTTGTTTAAATACTGCGCAGACACATTTATTAAGTCAGAGGATGATATATGCTTGATATGCTTTGAGAAAGTAAAAGGTTTAGCAGTCAAGACTAAATGCAATCATTTGTTTTGGTAAGTATTTATTTGATAATGACTTAGCACATCTTAAGGAATGAAATATTATCTATGATTTGAATAATATAAATAATATAATAATGTAGCAAGTCATGTCTGGATCAAGACATGGAGATAGATCTAACCATGGGGTTAGAGGAGCAACGGAATTGTCCAACATGCAGGACTGCTATAAACCGAAATGATTTTTCATCCTATGGACATGTACCAATTTATGAACCGCCCCAAGAAGCCATGGATATTGAGCCGGAACACCGGTATAACCTATTCTTTTTCTCAAAATTGCAAAAATTATAAATATTACGTTAAATATAAAATAAGTATTAATCAGTAAAAATATGATTTGCTTTTTAGGTACAACGAGTTTCCAATTTTCACTCAACTTTCATCCTTTATCCAGGAACGCTGGTTCGATGCGATTATTATGATGATTATTATTTGTATTATGATACTCCTCGTCATCTTCAAATTTGATAGATATGTTCCGAAATCAGCTGAAAGTACTGGTCAGCCCCCTGACACTCTGTCAGGGTATATGCTACATACTGTTTTACTGTTCATTGCTGTTTCTTAATGTCCGCGATCAACAGATGGCGCTGACATTAGGTCCGGTCCATGGATCTAAGAATCGATGGAGCGTAGAGTGGATTCATTGGCAAGGAGGTTGCCAAATTTGCGGTTGCAAAAAAAAGGGGAATGAGAGCGCTCTCTTCTATCCGCTTATCGTCTCTTTCTACAAGAAGACCCCATCGGCTCGGTAACGAAATTAACCGAAGACGTCCGAACGATCCGAAGATACTCGAAAACGCTAAAAAGAGCATTTTGACGTTTCGAGCG